CCCCCCCCCCCCCCCCCCAACGCCGTGTGCGCGAGTGAGTGTGCATGTCCGTCAGATTGGCCAAGGGCGGCGTAAGCACCGGGGCCTCTTGCCCTGCGAAGGCGGTGTCAGCATCGCGCGGCCGGGCGATTGCGCGCGGGTGGCCAGCCAAGCGTCGGGGACCGGGCGTGGGTATATTCTGGGCCCGCCGCCCGGAGGCGAGGCAGGGCCAGTGTCGGCCAAAGTATGTGCATATAGCTCCGAGGGAGGGAAGGGGGGGGGGGGCGAGAGGGAGAGAGACACGCGCGGGGTCATGGGCTTGGTCCGGCCGTCCCCGGGCAGATGGCCACCATGGCGCACTTCTGCCGCAGGGAGGCGGCCAGCGGCCGGACATGCGGGTTTGCATCCCACGCCAGCTGCAGCAGGTCCGCCAGGGCGGCGGAGGCCGCGACAGCGGGCGGGCGCTCGCCGGCCACAACCGCCGAGGTGATCTCCTCGAAGGAGGATCCTGTGCGCGCGGGGCCCGAGTGGCGGGGTTAGTAGCGGGCCTCGCAGGTGGCGGTGGCGATCGGGGGCAACAGCATACGAACCCTGCCAAGGAACGGCCCGGGCCAGGCACTCCCACAGCATGATGGCCGCGGAGTAGATGTCCGCCGGGAGGAGGAGCTCCGCCTCGAGCGGGCGCCGGCGCTGGAAGGCGGCCAGCACCTCGGGCGCCGCGTACCGCGCCGTCATGGCATTCAGCTCCGGCGCCTGGTTCACCAGGGTGGACGACCGGTCGGTGTTGAGGTTGCGCGAGGTGCCCAGGTCGCCGAGGGCCGCGCGCCAGCCGCCATCCGGGCGCTGGCTGGCAAACACGTTGCCCGGCTTCAGGTCCCGGTGGGCGATCCCCTGCGCGTGCATGGCCTCCAGCCCGGAGGCCCACTGCTGGCAGATGTCCAGGACGGTGCCCTGGTCCAGGGGGACGTCCGAGTGCAGGAGTGTCTGCAGGTCCGTGTCGAAGCGCTCCATGACGATGGCCGGCGGCTGGTCGCTGTAGCCGTACAGCCGGACGACGTTCGGCGCGTCGCGCAGCAGCCACATCAGCGCCACCTCGTTCTGGAAGAGGGTCACCTGCGTGGGGGTCATGCGCGCGGCCTTCAGCTGCTTGATGGCCACGGTGCCCGGGCAGCCCAGCCGGTCGGAGATGCCGGCCCCGACGGCGCGCGCCGCAAAGACCGACGCCTGGGTCCCGGCGCCCAGCGCATCCTCGTTCAGCGGGGCGAAGTCATTCGTGATGCTCACCAGGATGCTGCCCGGGAGCGACAGCTCCAGCATGGTGTTCATCACGGTGGCGTCCTCGTCATCCGGGTCGGCCTTGGCGCCGGGCTTGGCCGCCCGGCGGTACCGCCGCAGCAACACCAGCAGGGCGATCAGAAGCAGCAGCAGGACCAACAGGCCCAAGCCGATGCCCAGACCCAGAGCTATAGCAAGCACGACCGTGTGGGTTAGCCAGGGGAAGCATGTCGGGGCAGAAGCGCAAGGGACCCCCGGAGGGGCAGCGGTCGTACCCAGCAAGCGACGGTTCGCCGGCCCGCCGGAGGAGACACAGTCCCGGCGCTCGGGCCCGGTGCACTCGGGGCAGCTGCCATGGCAGGCGCCGCACGTCCAGGGGGCCGCATCCTGCCGGGCGAAGTACCTCGCGGGGCAGGCCGACACGCAGGCCGCCCCCTCGAGCAGGAAGAGCCCCGCCGCGCACCGGTCGCAGGAGGACACCTCCTGGCAGATGAGGCGCCCATCCGGGCCGGCCGTGCAGCCGCCATGCCCGGCCGGGGGGGCGCAGCTCTCGCAGCCATTCGGGCACGGGAGGCACACCCCGCCCGCGAGGTCCACCGTGAAGCGCACAGGGCAGGAGGACCGGCACGCGCCCGCCTCAAGGTGCAGAAGCCCCCCGGGGCAGCCGGTGCAGAAGTCCTCGAGCCCGCTGCACGTCCGGCACTCGCCGGAGCAGGGGAAGCAGGTGGACATGCCCCCCGGCGCGAACTGGCCATCCGGGCACCGGACCACGCACGCGCCGCCCGACAGGACCAGGCCCCCCGCACAGGCGGTGCACTCGGCCAGGCAGCTGCCCACCGCGTGGCAGGCGGTGCAGCCCGATGGGCAGGGCTGGCATGCTCGGGTGGCGCTGCATTCGAAGGCCCCCGGCGGGCAGGTGTCCACACAGGTGCTGCCGCTGAGCAGGCCGCCCGGGGCGCAGGCCGCGCACTGGTCGGCCTCGGGCCCGGTGCACTCGGCGCAGGTGGCATGGCACGGGGCGCAGACCCGGACGCCGGCCCCGGTATCCAGAGCGAAGTGTTTCGGCGGGCAGCTCGGCACGCAGTTTCCCTCCGGCGAGAGCCATTGGCCCGGTGGGCATAGGGTGCACTCGTTGGCGCCGGGCCCGGTGCACCCGGCGCAGGTGCCGCTGCACGAGAGACAGGAGTCGGCATCCTGGAAGGTGCCGTCCGGGCAGGCGGCGTGGCACCGGCTGCCCACCATGAAGGGCGCGGCCGGGCCGCAGGTGGCACATTGGTCGGCCCCCGGGCCGAAGCAGGTGGCGCAAGAGGCGTGGCAGGTGGCGCACAGGCCGCCCAGGGCCGAGGACCCGGCCGGGCACTGGGCCACGCAGGCCGGGCTGGCCAGCAGCCAGCCCCGCTCGCACAGGGCGCAGGTGGCGGTCGACTCCGGGCAGCTGGCGCAGTGCTCCCCGCAGGGGCTGCACCCGGCGCCCGAGGCATTGTACCCCACCGGGCAGGCCGGCACGCAGCGCATGGGCGACGCCCCGGCCGGCAGGGCCAGCAGATCACCCGGGCAGGCCGGCAGGCACTCGGTGCTCCGGGTCCCGGCGCAACGGTCGCACGACACATGGCAGGGCAGGCACCGCCCGGCCAGGGCGATGTGCTTCGCGGCGCAGTGCTGCATGCAGTCGCCGTCCTGCAGCACACCGCTGACACAGCGCCAGCAGTCCCGGTCCGAGGGGCCGTTGCATGTGGCGCACGCCGCGTCGCACGGCAAGCAGTCGCCGGAGACACGGTCCCGGTACTGCCCTTCGAGGCAGCCCGACACGCAGGCCCCCTGCAGGGGGACCGCCTCGAGCAGCTCCAGCCCAGCGGCACAGGCCGTGCACTGGTCCGCACCGCCGCCGACGCAGGCGGCGCAGCTGACATCGCACGGCTGGCAGGACTCCTGGTCCGGGTACGTCCCGGCAGGGCAGGTGGCCAGGCAGCTGCCATGGCGGTCGATGAAGAGCCCCTGCTCGCAGGCCAGGCACCGGTCGGCCGTGCAGGACGCACAGCCGGCCGGGCACTGGGAGCATGCGCCGGTGGCCCCGGGCGCCGGCGGCCGCCCCGCCGTCCACACATACCCCTGGGTGCATACTTGGCACTGGGTCGAGCTGCCGGCGCAGAGGGCGCAGCTCTCATCGCAGGCGAGGCACCTCTCGCTGCCGCGGTACTCCCCCGGGGCGCATGTGCTGCCACAAAGGGACGCCTGCAGCTGGTCGGCGCTCAAGAACACCAGCCCCGGGCGGCATGTCTGGCAGGCGGCCGGCCCCTGGCAGCTGGCGCAGGAGGCGTCGCACACAAAGCACCGGTCACTTTGGAGGAAGTGCCCCGGCAGGCAGGCCGAGCAGTAGGACTCGGTGGAGCAGGTTTTGCATCCGGCCGAGCAGGGCAGGCAGAGCTTCATGCGATTGGGCCAGTACCGCTCCGGGCAATGCTCCAGGCAGAGGGCCGGGCTGGTGGCCATGGCCGTCCGGCACATGGTGCAGCCCTCCGGCCCGGGGCGATTGCACTCCAGGCAGGCCGGGTGGCAGGGGGCGCAGTCTGGCAGCAGGGTGCCCACCGCGCAGGTGGGCACTTCGACCGACAGCGCGTGCACATGCCGCTGCTGGTGCAGGGTCAGCAGGAAGTGCGACTGCGTGGCATGGTTCAGGGTCAGCGACGGCATGGGCAGCAGGTTCAGCTGGTCCAGGTGCTGGAGCCCGGGCGAGGGGATGTCGAAAAAGCGGGCCGGCAGGAGCCAGCACAGCCCGGAGGGGCTGGGGGACCGGCACTCCAGCAGGGCGATGCCCATGTGCCGGGCAGTCAGGAGGATCAGCGCGCCGGGGGTGCTTGCGTGCTCGAGCGGCACGGCCAGGATGCGGTGCGGCGTATGGGCCGGGAGGGCGCCCGGCAGGAGGCCCAGCACTTCCAGATGCCCCGGCACATCGGTGGTCCGCTGGTGGGGCACCCACCCCATGGGCAGGTGCAGGGCGTGCCAGCTGGCCGGGGCCGATGTGTCGCGCGGCGACTCGGCCAGGAAGGACAGGAACACCTCGCTCAGGCGCGAGGTGCGCCGGGTTGGCAGGGCCAGGGGAACGGCATTGGAGGGGATGCCGGGCACCGGGTCCCGAGTCAGGCCCATGGCCAGGGGGGTGATGGCCCGCGGGTCGGCCGCCTTGAAGAGGGCCAGCGGCGCGGTCGTGGCCCAGGCGCCGCCCTGGTCCGGGTCCCGGGCCAGGGCCCGGACCAGCCACGGGGCCAGCTGGTCCAGGGGGGAGGTCTGCACCAGGGCCGGGTGGCCGTGCGACCCCGGCAGCGGCAGCACATGCACCCTCTGGCCGGCATCCACCGTGGCCAGGAAGACGCCGGCCGGCGTGCCGACCGTGACCGACTGGTGGTCCAGCCCGCGGAGGGTGTGGCAGCGAGCGTCGCCCGGGATGGGCAGCACCTCGACGAGCTGGGGGTCCGCTTGGCAGGAGTCCCCGGCGGGTGGCAGGGGCAGGAGACAGAGCACGCGCCGAGTCACCAGCCGGCCGGATGCCTGGCACATGAACATCTGCAGGTACGACTGGCTGAGGACCTCCGAGTAGAGCATCAGCTCGGCGTATGCCACCACCGGCTCGGCTCCGAACAGGTCCGCCGGCATGAGGGCCCCGTCGATCGGATGGACGCCCTGCTGCAGGACATAGTCCCCGGCCAGCCAGGCGGCCGACCGGGTGGACAGGAAGCCGAGGAGGTTGTCCTCCACCATCACCTTGCTGTCGCGCGAAAGCACCAGCAGGTGGCCCGTAAGCAGGTCCAGGCGAAGCCAGCTCCGGGCCAGGAACCGCAGCTCCGCGCCCGTGTCAAAGGGCAGGGTCATCGGCTGGAGATGCAGATTCCGGAAGTGGCCAGGCTGTTGCGGGACGCAGCGCCGGCTGCCGGCGGCGACCTGGAACCCGGGCGAACACTGGTCCAGGCATTGCGTCGTGTCGCTTTCGAAGTTGTCCTCCAGGAGAAGGCGGTCGCCCACGCAGAGCAGGCACCGGCCGCCGTGGCAGGTCTCACAGCCGGGCGGGCAGCCCGAGCAGATGGCTGCGCCGGAGGGGGGAGGGGGGGGGGGCAGGGGCGAGGCGCGGCACAGGATGAGCCGAGCCCGATGCGCGGCGTCAGTGGCCAATCCAGGCAGCATGGCGAGTGGCCGGTGCGCACGCTGCGAGTCGGCGGGTCGGGGGGAGGAGAGGAGCATGCAAGAAAGGAAGACCCCGGCCTGGGGTGTAGGGGGGGGGGAGGCACACATGCAGGGGCCCCGGTACCACCGGGAGATGCGTACCGGGGGAGCTCCAGCCGGTGGGAGCCTCATTTCCACTTTGGCAGCCGGCACACAGGAGCCCCGGGGCGATGAAGGGCGAAAGGGCCCGACCGGTGGCGCAGGCAAATCCCCGATCACCGGGCGCAGGCGGCCCCTGGCCGCTGTTGCAGGTGACGGTCACATCGGAGTCGCAGCCAAAGTGCGGCGACTGCATGTAGCCATGGGCCCCGGCGAGCACCAGCCACTGGAGGCCATGCGAGCCGAGTTTCACCTCGCGCAGCAGGAGGCCGGTTTGGCTGGCCACCGTCCCGGGGAGGACCATGCGCTTCCAGGACACCGGCTGGCCGGAGGGCAGGACGTCCAGCCGCCAGAGAGCCTCCTGGGAGGGGTCATGCACGGCCAGCCAATGGTGGGGAGTCTTGCTGGGCAGCTGGCCGGCCGGCGGCCCGAGGATGGTGGCCGCCGCGGAAACACCTCCGCCCGGGAGGAGAACATACCTGTGGGGGCTGCAGATGCCGGTGGTGACATCATAGCAGAGGTCCAGGCGGCCGTTTTCAAAGAGTAAGGCCATGTCCAGCGAGGGGGCAGCCGCGGTCAGGTGCAGGAGGGCCACATGGCGGATGCGGTCCAGCGGCCCTTGCTGGAGGATGCTTACATCCCTCAGGGGCTGGTCCCATTGGAGGAAGGCCCCGGCCAGGTGGTTGGGACTCCAGAAGAGGAAGCTTCCATCCGGGCCGGCGGTGGCCCCGACCGGGGCGGCATCCCCCGGAGCAAGGGCCACCAGGGTGTGTGAATCCATGTCGGCCGGCTCCCAGCGGGTGAGAAGCACCTCCCGGCTGTCGGGGAAGTACATGAGCACCATGAGCAGCGTCGGGCTTCGGGCCGTGGCTGCCAGCACCCGGATCGGGACGCCGAAGTCGAACTCCATCTTGGTGGGGCCGGTGGCGAAGTTGAAGACCCCGGTTTCCGGGACGTACGAGGCCAGGGCGGGCCCCTGCGGCGTGGGGACCACAAGAGCCACGGCGCCGGGCCCAGCGACAAGGCTCGCCATGCCGACGGTGCTATGGGGCTCGGCCGACACGAGGCTGCCGATGCGCATGTCGGCATTCGGGCTGGCTGCCACATCCTGCATGGCATACAGCCGGCCATGGGCGGTGCTGGAGAAGACCCCCGACATGGGGAGCTCGGTGGAGAAGAACTTGCCGAACATGTGCCCCGGCTGGTCGGCCCACTGCGACAGAGGCAGGAGCGTTTGGTGGAAGTAGATGGGCGCCGCCTCCGGCAGGGGGGTCTCACGGTCCCATGCCCGGAGGGGTGCCCCCGGTGGCGGGGCCGCCCGGCCAGCCAGCGGCCCGGCGGCCAGCCACGCCCCGAGAAGAGCCCATACCAGCCTCAGCCGGCCGAGCGACCGCATGGCACCGGACCGGGAGCGGGGCGTGGAAAAAGAGCGAGAGGGAGGGCGAGGGGAGGGGAGATTGCGTGCGCGTGTGTGTGTGTGTGTGTGTGCGTGTGCGTGTGTGTGTGTGGCTGATCCGGAGGGAGGAGGGCGCGACGGGGGAAAATGCCGGCGGCGAAAAGGCGAGCGAGGAGGGGCGGGGAGGGGCTATGTCCTTGCGTGGCTGGCCGGGTGCGCTCCCGCTGGCAGGCCGGCCGAAAGATCGCCCCCGGCCCCTGGTCCGAACGGGCGGACGCGCGTACACCTCCTGTCTGGGGCGCGGCCGTTTCCGTCCTCATGCGTATGCGGGGGCGCCTCTTTGGACCGCGATCTCGAACCGGCGGCAGCCCGGCGCCCGACGCGGGGCCCCTTTCCGCCATTATCCCCCCTGGCCTGGTTGTGGGCCTCCTGTTCGCGAGCCGGATGGCCTGGGGCTTGGCGCGCTGCCTCCAGCGGCGGGCGGGGGGGGGGGGGGGGCTCGGGTCGCGGGCGGCGTCGATGAACATGGCCAAGCCGGCGTCGGGGGGCCCACCGCGGAAGGCGGCCACGGGGCAGCGAGGAGGACTCGGCACACGGAAGCCACTCGCAGCCGGACGCGTGGCGGCAACCCTGGTAGGACGTCGGCGGGGAGGGCGACTGGCTCGGGACCCCGCCAGCCAAAACGGGGGGGAGGCCGGGCACCGGATGCCGGCACTTGCATCATCGGGGGCGGCGGGTTTTCTGCCTGTCGCGAGCTCGCTCTCGCTCCGGGCCGGGGA